TGTAAATTACATTTTTGTTATTTTTTATATATTTATATTTTAGTCTTCATTTTTCTTTTTTGTTATATATTTATTTTAGAGGTCTCTCTTGTAAATCACCTTATGGTGACAGCGATAACCTCAATAAAGATTATTTATTATTATTAGATTATTTATTATTAATTATTTGAAGTATTTGTTTGGAAATCCCCACCCCCACCCCCATCATTCACAAATTCCTGGATCTGCCCTTGCATCCTTTTATCATAATTTAAAATAACACTTGGACTTGGAATTTCCAAGGAGTGGGGATTGGGGGTTGGGGTTGGGGGGGGAGGGGGGTCAGAGAAAGAACAGAATTACCAAGTTAAGAAAATTGGAATTTCCAGGAATAGGTGAGGTCTTTAAAAAAATATCTTCGATGGGGGTTATGGTCAATTTATGAAACTACGCATTACGTCATTAGTATTTATTAGGGCGTGTCTCGGGTCTAACCATTTTCCCCCCTCTCAAGGTCCAATTTGCAAAAGACACAAAGATTCCAAGTAAAGCAGCGGCCCAACTCTTTATTTACATTGGTATTTGTTCCTCTCTGTCTCGGATTGCTATTGGCAAGGTTCTTGACAAAGCATGGCTCACTCCACTACGATGCCTTCAGCTGATGTCCTTCATAATAGGATTGTCCATCATCTTTCTGACTTTTGCCAAGGAATACATGCATTTTGTCATATTTGCTGTGATATATGGTCTTGCCAATGGTGCATTCATTACTAATATTGCAATGTTTTTCCTGAGTGTTGGTGGACGTGAAAGGGCTCACATCAGTCTTAGCACAGGATACATGTTTGTCTCAATCACTATTTGTGGAGGACCACCATTCATTGGTAAGAAAAAATCATCTTGCATTGGAAGAAGCTTTTGGGTTTAATCATAGGTTGGGGACAGGGACATTTAAAATTATGTTATTTACTTACGGGACAAAATACAGTAGATGAATGTAATTTAAAAAGGCCACTTTTGCAAGAGATATTTCATTTACCAGAATTCATATTTTCTATAGCTTTTTACTATTGAAAAAACTGAGACTTCAAGTCTTGCAAACTGCATCCTCATTTACTGATGTGTGTGCGTGACTGTGGGGAAGGGGGATGGGATGTGGGAGCTAGTGGGGGGAAGTATTGGTTTAAATTATTACACTACTGCTAGCCTCCAAAACAGCTCTCTGGCACGGGTGTGTGGTTTGAGGGCCATTTCACAGGCTACACTATACTATACTCAACAATGTGTTATTTCTTGAATTTCAGGATTTATAGCAGATGAGCTTGGTTCTTATATCCCATCATTTTACGTAGCTGGTGGCATTGTAATATTTGCTTCTATATTCCCATTTGTTCTTTTATTCTGTGATAACACGGGAAGGGCTGAATATAGACTAAAGGAAGTGGAACTCCATAGTCAAGAGGACAATGACCAGAATGTACTAAAAACACATGGAAAAACCTTATTTATATCTTCTGTATAGGTAATGGTGACTATTGTTTTAATGAGAAATGATCATGAGTAATCACATATTTATACTATTTAATGGGTAAATAAATATATATTTGTTAAAGAAGGAAAAAATGATCATGAGAGTAAGAAGAGATGAAATAAAATTTTATAATACTCCCTTGATTACAATTTCTATAATAAAGTCAATTTACTTTGGTCTCTTACTTTTGACCATCTCCAGACCTTGTGTCATTTCCTTATGTAGTATATCTTCCTTTACCTAACAATAATTGCAATGGTATGTTGTTGACTCCAACTAAAAATCTTCGTAAAAATATTGTTTCGTGAAAAATGTGGAAAAAAAACAATATGGGTAAGGTATACAGAATGAAAAGAAAAGGAAAGAATGAATGAAAGAAAAATGAATTTGGGAATAAGCAAAAGGGAATAATGTAGGCTGGATAAATAAAAAAGGGTTAGTGGTCCAAAAAAGAAATAAGGCACATGGGTCAAGTTACTGAACAAATACATTGTTAACAGAAATTTAAAAAATCAAAAAACGAAAAAAGTAAATAATGAATGATCGAAAAGGTTTCAGTCGAGAATGTATGTGCGGGGTCCCTGTGGTGAATCAGATGCCAAGTCCCGTATGTGCAGACGTGTATTTTGATGTGACTGTAAACCACTCACGTTGAGCCACGAAAAATGCAAATGGCTGCCAAAAATCCCAAAAAAATCCTCGCTTAAAAACTAATTCCACGTTAGCCAACCATGAACTAAAAACCTACGGACTGCTCTTTATATTTTCATGATGCGAGAGATGGTTTTAACAGCGGCCAGTCTAACACTGACCGGTGCTGTGGTTGCAAATGCTTACTACCAAAAACATCAGTTTTATCCCTCTGTCGTTTATCTGACAAAGTCAAGTCCAAGCATGGCTGTAAGTGCTTTATTTACCCTCTTCCTCTTTACTTTGTTACTCTTTGTTGCTTTTATAGTTCATTTTGTCATCTTTAGTTGTATCTACGATGTTAATACTAGACATTTTTACGATATTATGAATTTATTTTGCCGTTCTTGTAGGTTCTTTATTTGCAAGCCTTTGTCTTCGTTATCTTACTGGGCAAACTCATTCGTAAAGTATTTTTCGGCCAACTTCGAGCTGCGGAGATGGAAGTAAGTATATAAAAACTTAAATGCTAATTTTTTCAAGATTTCTAATTATATAAGCATTTTGTAATTTCTGAAAATAAAAATTTTTGGTTATGAGGTTCCTTGGTTTTGAAGTATTCTCTGAAAAAATGTGAGGTATTAGACTCTCTTAATTAAATAACGCTGTCTAAAGAATCAATGGGGCTTTTTTACAGTACTTACGAATATAGTCTAATGATATGAATATATTGTTAATAAACTATCAATATTCGATAATTGTGACTAAATTAATGCTTGTTTAATATATTCATACCTTTGAGAAACTCTAGGATTACTTACCCCAGATGTTTCTATTTCCCATGCCCATAATCAATTTTTTTTCAGTTTATGACATAAATCCCATTTTCTGGGACTAAAATCCGAATAACTATAGAGTACCCCACCAAAGCCTTCCCCAATCCTAACCCTAAACCTAACCCCATTAAGGTACTCGATTGTTTATTCCTACAAAGCCTTCCCCAATCCTAACCCTAAACCTAACCCCAAGGTACTCGATTGTTTATTCCTATAACGAACGCGTAGGTGCGTAGGCAGCCCACTATAATACTTTTCCTTGTGGGGTATTCTATAGTTGTACCCTAAAATCATTAACAATTCAAAGTTGTTATATATATCTACCGTAGTGTACCTTATTGCTATTTTACCAATAGATATTTTGTAAATCTATTTGTTTTCTTTATATTTATGTTATCAGGACTTCCTTTAAACTAGCCTTGCGATATTGAGTTAAATAAAATAATAATGAAGAGGTGTCTATTTTACTATTTTCCTTCTTCTTTTCAGCTTCATTGTAATGTATTCATTTTCCAATTCAGACCATGTCACTCCATTTGGAGTAAGATTCATTTTCAATTGCATCCATGGTAACAAATTCTTTTTTTCAAGCATTACCAGAATCAATAGAATAATAATTAATAGAATGAATCATGGTCTGATATTGGAAACATGGTTTTGGAAACATTACACCTACACTCTAAAGTCTATTGATTGCTTCAATGATCTCCAATTTCATTTATTCTTTTTTTCTTTCTTTCCAATTTAGCATTTAATTGAAAGATCCTGGTATGCTGTAACAGAGACTTGCCTGGCCTTCACAGTATTCAGAGATGACTTCAGTCCACGTTTCGTTGCTCAGTTCACATTACTTCTTTTTATCAAATGTTTTCACTGGCTTGCCGAAGATAGAATAGACTATATGGAAAGAAGTCCAGTGCTTACTTGGCTCTTTCATCTCAGAGCTGTTACATTACTGATGTTTTTAGGAATGTTTGATAGCTTTTTGGTTCATGTTGCTTATAATACAACTATTCAAAGTGGTGCTTCAGTTCAACTGGTTTTTGGTTTTGAGGTAATTATCTCATCTACTGTAATAGCCAACTTGTAATATTCTGTTTGAGTGATCAAGCACAAAACAATCCGAGTCAAGGCTCCGGCGAAACAAATGAATAATAATATTATGATTATAGACCCCTTGCATGTGATGTCAAAGCAGCTCGATCTGGGGACAAAACAAGAGAATTCCAATCTCCTGAGAATTGGAACCAATGTTTTGTTCCCCAGATTGAGCTGCATTCCAGAGTGCTGCAAGGGGTCTCTTCTATTGTTTCCCCAGAGCCTCGACTCGGATTGTTTTGTACTTGATCACTCAACCAGAATATCAAATGTTGGCTATTGTTATCTTTGATAAGGTCAATTACTGTAATAGACCTTCTTTAATTGGGCATAATATAGTGTAGTGATAATGTAGTGTAGTAGTTTGTACGTGTGTGGAGCAAACCTCATGGAAGTATAGCCCATTCCAGGGGTGCTTGATTAGTTGAGTGGCTATAGGATGACATTGAAGGAATAGAGTCATTTCGATGTACCTTTCAAAATGATGTTTTTAAGCATTATAAATCCTGCTATTCATACTTCAACTTATTCATATTAAACCAAATTAATTTGATCTATACTATAAAAGTCTTGTCTCTGACTTAAATTTAAAAGTGGTAGATTTTGTGGCTAGTTTTTGGCCTTCAGTAAAAGTAAAAATTCTTTAGCTGTGTGGGAGGAATAGATTAAAAATTACTGTTGATTGCTCATGCTCTCAAAATTCATTTGTATTTTTTCCATTTTCTTTCAGTACGCCATTCTCTTAACTATAGTGGCTACCATATGTATGAAATACTTTCTCCATGTGATAGACTTACAGAGTGAAAACCCTTGGGATAATAAAGCTGTCTATTTACTTTATACAGAACTTATCATGGGTAAGTACAATCCATTAAGGATTACAGCATCAAGGAGAAACAACTTTTTTTAATGGACTGGTTACGCAGGAATGAGAAGCCCAATAACTTAAGGAAGCAATAGTTAACAGTGGATATTTTTGATATAAGTGTTGCCGAAATCATGCATACAAATCCTTCACACTAATCAAAATTTTTAGTTCAATGCTTACTCCACCACTTCCCTCCACTTCACCTCTATCATCAATAAATATGACTATGTGTGCATCAGATTGAAAGGTGGCAACCAATTTGAATAACTGTTCAGGACTGACTAGCCTTGTGTTCACGTGGAAACACAAAAGCATTTTCACATGTACAGTCCAAAACAACAGTTATTCAAATATTGGTTGCAATATTTTGATTTTGATTGATATTTTGATGTATAAAAAATTAAATAAATTAAAAAGTATACCATAGAGGGGTGTATCCAGCATTCCTGTTAGAGGGCACTCCCTATTCATTTCAACAAATCTTCTCATAGGGCTCCCCTCCTCAAAAGGGGGTCACAGGTACCTCAGAGCCACACCCTGAATAAACCCCTACTGCATGGAGACTGGGCCTGAGTGCGTCAGTGATGTGCATATTAATGTCTAATTTGTATTATTGTTTTCAGGATTCATTAAAGCTGTTTTATATATATGTTTTGTTGGTATTATGATCAAGGTCCATACCTTCCCCTTATTTGCTATCAGACCCATGTATCTTACACTGAGGTGGGTATAGCAGTCTTTTCTTTTTGTTTTAATAATAATTTCTTAAAATCATTAAGATTATTACTACAACTTGCATAGCTCCCTGAATTAATTTACTCATAACAACATTTTATCAGCTGTCATTATTTTTTCTCTTAACCCTGTTTTCTCATTCTTCTTTTTGGAAAATGTTATTTTTATACTTGTTTATTTACGGTTTTTTTTTGTTTGTTTTTGTTACAGAGGATTCAAAAAGTCTCTCAGTGATGTTATAATGTCTAGACGAGCTATTGCGAATATGAATACCTTGTAAGTATACTTTGCATTGCATATATTGTACACACATTAGTATAGGACAGAATAAGACAGTTTTCACTAAGGAACATGAAACCATCATTTGAAGCAACAAAAATTAGATACTGATTCTTTGTTTGTTTTTGCTCAGATATCCTGATGCCACACCCGAGGAACTCTCGCAAGGTGACAATGTGTGTATAATTTGTCGAGAAGAAATGACGACAGGATGTAAGAAAATCCCCTGCAACCATATCTTCCATGCAAGCTGTCTCAGGTCATGGTTCCAAAGACAGCAGACCTGTCCTACTTGTCGTATGGATGTGTTACGACCTATGCCAAGGCCACAGACACAACCTACCCAGCCTCCTGCACAACTGCAAATGCCACAAGGAATGCCAAATGGTGGGTGTTGTCCATCTAGACTTTATTTTATCAGTTTAGCCACTTTGACAATTTGATATATCACTGATATGCAGTAAACCAAATTCAAAAATCTTTGTTGGGTTGAAAAGGTTAAATCATTTTAATCATTGAAGACTGGGGGTATTCTTGGTAGTCAATATCCTAAGCATTTGAACAGTGTTTGGATACAGACACATGCAGGAATAGTGACAAAATGCTTCAATCAGTAACTTGAATCTACCTGATTTAGCCATTTTGAACCTGACAACAAAATTAATTATGTATTTGTTATAAAATCCCAACAGTGATAGACGCTTCTTTCTTCTCCACCATTTAACTGTGTCTTAATCCTCATTCATTATTATACGTAATCAATCATCATCATCATCATGAGGTATTTGGAATTCTTCGTGGTTTGTCTGACTCATGTCTCTAATTCTTTCAAATATTAAGGTGCACAAATGATGCCACCCTTTGGTATGTTCCCTGGCTGGCCCCCAATGGGTATGCCACAACAGCATTTTCAACAGCCTGGACAACAGCAGCCTGGACAACAGCAGCCTGGTCAACAGCAGCCTGGTCAACAGCAGCCTGGTCAACAGCAGCCTGGTCAACAGCAGCCTGGTCAACAGCNCAACAGCAGCCTGGTCAACAGCAGCCTGGTCAACAGCAGCCTGGTCAACAGCAGCCTGGTCAACAGCAGCCTGGTCAACAGCCTGGTCAACAGCAACCAAACCAGCAACCATTACCATTCACAGATCCAACACCAACTGGCACTACTCCAACATTTACCACAGCCCAATCTCATACAACACCAACCTTTCTTCCTAATCAAGTATGTCATTTACTATATTGGGCTTACAAGTCTATTCTATTGAGTAATTTAAGCTAAAATATATCATATTTTCTCATCTTGAGTCTTGAGGCCTGATTAGAAGTTTATTACCACAGAGAGAGAAATATTATTTACAAAATATAATTAAATTAGTATATGTAATAGGACTCTATGCTGTCCAATTAAGAAATAATTGGATGAGGAAAATTCCGAGGACTTCCAAAATTGGATGAGGCCGTAGGCCGAGTCCAATTTGGCAGTCAGAGGAATTTTTCAAGTCTAATTATTTCTTGATTGGGGAGCATGAAATCCCATTACCTTTTAATTATATGGCTGCTTAATTAATCCCATATCAACAAGACCTGTCCAATTAAGAAAATAATTGGACAGTTACCTATATGGGATTAATGAGAAGCTGTATTAATATTAGTAACAGTCACTCAGAGTATTGTGAACTAATTGAGCTGAGAAACTATAATATTTACCAAGCAATATTTAACAGTTGCTGACAAAATTAAAAATATATCACATACATACAAATGGAAAAAACATATTTGTATGTATGGTCAGAATAGAAAACATTAGCAGATATTAGAGTTGCACTTTATTGCTGCATTGGGTCAGTTTCTATACATTTCATTGTATTGAACCAAATGCCTCAACTTGAAACAATAATTGTTTGAAGGCATTAGAATGTAACTCTAATATCTGCCAAATACTCTCAAGCTACAAAATACCTATCTGCATTGAATGTTTGAAGAGGGACTTATAAGATACAATCATGTTTGTAGCCACTGCCATAACTACACCTACACGACAGTGTCAATATTGCCTGGGAAAGAGATAAATAAAGCATTAGCATTCTTTTTCTGTCCTAGATGCCTGGTTTTAACATGCCGCCACCATTCATGATGCCACCTCCATTTATGATGCCACCTATGTTTGGTAAGTTTGAATTGTCCACAAAGAAACAAAATATACCCATTTCCATAAAGAGGGTCCAAGCCATAGGAGATAGGCAATCAATAAGTCATTCCAATTATAGTAATTCCAATTCATTCCAATATCATTGGCATACAACTAAACTTAAAAAATCAACATCTTGTTTCCTTGACTGCAAGCAACAATGGATATCTCAACACTAAACTTTGTGTTCTTGAAAAGAATAATGATGATAAGAAACGCAATTCATTTCTGCAATTCTTTGATCTTGACATGACATACTGTATCTCTTTTTGCTTATTGCCATCACCTATCTTCTTTGGCTTCGTTGTAAATATTTAACGTGAATTTGTGTCTGTGAATAATTAACTATAATAACTTAGTTGAGAACTTTTATGGAGTTATTTTGTACAATAATTTTACTGAATCTAAAGAGGAAAATCTTTTTTATTTGCAGGTATGCCATTTATACCCCCAACAGTCCCCCAAGGGGTAGATTTGTCATCAATGAGTACAGAAGAGCTAAGGAACCTGGAAGGTCAAGAGAGGCAAAACTTAGAAGCAAGGATAGCATTGATTAGAAATGTTCACATGCTATTGGATATGGCTGTTAGTCAGCTCAACCAGTATACAATGATGGTCAATCCTCAAAGGTAAACAACATTTTTATTTTTCAAGTTTAGTGAGTGGCTGGAACCACTCAAAAATGGGATGCAGTATATGAGACATTAAACTTTGCGGGTTGCACCTTAACGAAAATGGTAGTAACGAAAGTCAAAACGAAAAATACTAATAACAGAATTTGTCTGAAAGCTGAGAAACTTTGTCACACTATAAAACATTGTCACGCAATAAAACTTTGTCACACTATAAAACTCTGTTTTTTCTCACAATAACTCTCTTTTTCACAGTCCAACTGTAGGATCTCCAGAAACCCAAGAAGGGGGAGCTGCTGCAAAAGCAGAGGGTAAAAAAGATAAGGCACCACAAGATTGGCCATCTTCGTCTAACATCACTGTACCAACTGCTACTCCACCTGTATCTGTACCTGTATCTACTGAGAGTACTGGGTCAGATAAAGTGGCTACTAGCACTACTGTTGAGCCAGAGACTGTTGGAAGCACTGATGAGACAGATGTTGGAGAGGATGGTACTAGTAATGAGGTAAGGCGACGTCGGCTTGAGAGATTCACCAAAGAGGAAGCAAAACAGGAGAAAGTTGAGACAGATGATGAGTGAACGTTTGGTATCATGCAAATGGAAACGAATGAGATAAAAGGACAGGAATTTGGAGTAAAAGAGAAAAAAGGGAAATATGGACATTGTGGTAAACTATCTTTAAAGATTGATTAATGGAAATCTTTGCATGGAAAAATATTCGACAATTACAGAGAGAGAGATAGAAATTACCGAAATAGTTAAACAACCAAACAAGAGGTGCAAATGTAATTGATCTAACAGTCAGGGTCGTAGCAAGGTCAATTTCCTTTGGGGGAGGGGGGAGAGGCAGCCTGGTGACCAAGCTAAAGAGTGCATAGCAAACCTGCAAGCAAAACAGGTTGTTATATCATGGGACCAGCTCCCCAGCCCCTTCCCTAGCTACAGCCCTGAGCAGTAAAATGGTATTTTGATATAATCAGTACGACCAGAAGTTCATAACTAGAAGTGTCCATCTTCCTATATATGAAACGTCCGACGTGTTTTACGTCTGAGCTATTTTTAGTAAAATTGACGTCTGCACCGGAAGTGACCAAGCAAGCAGGCCAAACAAACAAAATGGTGGACTCGGGGTTTCCCGTGTGAGAAAAGCTTGGATTTGCTTGAGTGTTATGTTCGATAATAGTGTACGCCATAGAAAAGACACTTAGTTTCTTTTTTACCATAACAAAGTCCAAAAAGATGAAAAAAATGTCCGGAAAATGTTTGAAAGAACAACCGCTTCAAGCGCGCGCTGTTCATACACGCGGGCGCGCGTAATCCTAAACGAATGAGCGCAGCGTATGTCATTTCGATGAATCTGATTGGTCGAGCGTTCCTGCTTGGTCACTTCTAGTGCTGATGTCAAATTTACTAAAAATAACTCAGACGTAAAACACATCGGACGCCACCCCAAT